GACCTTAACGGTTTCAATGAACTTATACAGTAGAGGATAAACTACTCCGCTGACTTGCTCCAAAATAGCTTGAGAGAATTAAACTTGTCATAACTTGATCCAAATCAGTCACATGCCTGATCAGCATTTCTGTCGGAGGCGTGTAGTTTTTCTTCCAAGTGAAAGCTCCTCCTAGAGCAAAAGCAGTCTAGCATTTTTTTTTATTAAGAGCTTTCCTGATAAGTTCAGTGGTGAAAGAGCAAAATAAATGCATGCCGTGCATGTGTGTGCTGTGTTGGGGTGGTTAGTTGTGTTGACACAGTCAAATATGTGCTCGCCATTGCTGCAGTGACCGAGTTTAGCTTACCAACGCATTCAAAGGGGTCCTATGCTTTTTTACATCTTAAACTTTCTGTAGCATGTAATCAATGTTCATTTTATTATAATTTCATGCCTTATAGTCGCATTTAGCAGATTACTAAACAGGGCAAATTAGTGCGAGAATGCAGGATCATTTCCATAATGACCAACACAATCTACCAAGAGCACCGCAAATTAGTTGAAAACGTGTTTTTTTGGGGCATAAAATAATGGCACAAATACCAATAAATCACCTTACATGATTTGTTTAAATACCCTCCTCTCATAAATTTAGCATCTGACTGGGAAACTCCTACAAATGCTAATGCAATAAGGTTATAAAAATAACCACAAAAATAACCCTGCCTATGCTTGCGTCGTTGCGTGTCTTTAGTAAATCCTGACAGTCGTTTTTAATGCCAAAAGAGGGTTTGCGCTGGCGTAAACTGTTCGTAACTATGGCCCTAGAGCTGGGCAATAATATAGTTCGCATGATATAAACAATCAAGCAGTTGAGATTTTCGAACTGCATTCGAAAATTAAACATGATTTAATGACTCGTTAATGTAAGTACACGTTGATGGCCTAAGACACGAAACGAGCGGTTTGTGTGAGAAAACGAACAGTATTTATATCGTTTTACCTCGTGTAATCACAGTGACGTCCAAGTGATCTGAATCAGTTGTGCAATGTCCAACTGAACCGAACTGAATCAGTTCAAAATGTTGCGCCGGAAGTGATCGCTTGCGTGTGACGTCACTCAATATTTACATGGAGATTTCGGAAGTTTTACCTTTCACTAAACATATTTAGATATACCGAAATCGTCTTCCATTGCGGTTTCACGTGTATCTAAATATGTTTAGTGAAAGGTAAAACTTCCGAAATCTCTGTATAAACAAAGAGTGACGTAGGCGCGCAAGCGATCTCTTCCGGCGCATGCGCAGACCGAAGCGCCCGTGCCGTCAGATAATTTTGTCATGGCTATGATTATAAGAGGTAAAAACGATATAAATACTGTTCGTTTTCTCACACAAACCGCTCGTTTCGTGTCTTAGGCCATCAATGTGTGCTTACATTTACGAGTCATTAAATCATGTTTAATTTGGACTTCTCTGTGCATGCTTTTTGGTGGACCCCCTTAGCCTCCAGTGTATGACTGATAGACAAGAACGGTTTGACTGAAAAATGTCAAAATTGAAAATACTGTGGAAACAAAGACACCTACATCTTGGATGCCCTTGAGGTAAGCTAAAACATATCAAAAATTAAATTTCAAAGTGAACTATCCCTTTAACTAGCGATTTTTATTTTTCATTACTCTACGCCCTATATACTACGCTAAACAGTAGTTTTTAGAGATAAAAATCTTTACATTCGATTATCATGAAAACAAATCTCAGAGAACGGTTGACTAGGTACCGATGTGTTATTAGACCAAAGGTTCATTTTGTATCGAAGTTGCCCCACGATTTCTTCCAGAAAGTGATTTTAAGGAGGTCCACTGCCAAAACCTGCTCTGGGACCCCGGTTACGGCCCTACAAGTATACATGAGTAAACTGTGTCCTTTGCAGATCCTGGTGCTGTGTCTAGCCATTTTTCCTCTGCCGTCATAAACTCAAGAAGCGGCTGTACGCCAGACATCAGAAAAGGTGTGTTTCCAAAAAACATTGTTAGACAACAAGTTCTGTCGTTATCAACACAGTTCAACGACTCCCAAAACCATACAGTAGTTCTAACAAACATTCGCAAACAGCATCGGAAAGTTGTGTGTTTGGAACGACAGCTCTCAACTTGTGGTTTGAAAAAAGCAGTTTCTTGTTTTCATGACATCTGGATTCAATAAATCCTTATCTTGAGCCAAATAAGTAAGCTGACATTCAGTACAATTTATGTCTTTTATTTAGAATACATACAAATACTGTATAATTTACATCAAAAGATTTAAAGCAACAATATGTAGTTTTTCATATTCAAAGATTTCGTAAGTTTTACCTTTTCGCAGACAAAAATCCAGGTCTGTTGCATCAAACATGCATCATACACAAAAGATTTGAGGTTGTAATCTCTGCTAAATTTGCTTCAACTACTGTTGAATAGTTATGTCAAAACTTGTCGATATTTTTTCTTTATAGTAGACTAAATGGTAACACTTTAGAATACGGTTCCTTCGTTAATGAATAACTACACAAGAACTAATGAGTAACACAATAGTAACAATCTAGTAACTATTATTAACTAACAAGAAACTCTGATTAACGAATTAGTAAGTAATAGCGCACAGATGAAAGTGTTACTAGATACTTCTGTGGGAATTATTAATTATTTGGATTCGCATTATAAAGTGAAGATCATTGGAACTAACTAATAATGACTCGAGTGTTACTAACGACATTTTCTAAAAGTATACTAAAGTTTAACAAAAATCTCAAACGTTTGCACAAGATCATGTAGTAATAGTTAGTTCCAATGATCTTCACTTTATAATACGGATCCAAATAATTAGTCATTCCCACAGAAGTATCTAGTAACACTTTCATCTGTGAGCTATTACTTACTAATTCGTTAATACGAGTTTATTTTAGTTAATAGTAGTTACTAGATTATTAATACAAATTTTCAGTAGTTCTCTGGGACGTATTAAAAAATAGTATTGATTACTTAATAGTGAACTACCACTTTCGTCTGTGCGCTATTACTTACTAGTTCGTTAATCAGAGTTTCTTGTTAGTTAATAATAGTTATTGTTAATATTGTGTTACTCATTAGTTCTTGTGTAGTTATTCATTAACGACTAAATTTGTGTCGATTTTGTATAATATAGTGTGTGGAGATTTATAATTTTTTGTTCCAGCCATTGCTGTTGATATGGTCAGAAAATCACCAAGCTTCATTTGGAGGTCTTTAGGAGTTTTATTGTGAACCTTGGGATGAGAGTCAGGGAGTTTGTTCAGAATAACCTTTGGACCAATGAAAAATCCACTCCATCCCCGCGGGTCTGGTACGGGGGTATTAAAGTCAGTGTTTACTTGTTCACAGTGTTGTAGTACTCGAGACTCGGACTCGTCTCGGACTCGGTCTCGAGACCATATTTTAATGGTCTTGGTCTCGTCATGGACTCGTGTCCATTTGGACTCGGAATTGACTCGTACTCGAACATTTTTTTTTTTAGGACTCGGAATTATTCCCGAGTCCACTCGAGTTCAATTAAAAATATTTTTCATGATTATTAATGTATGTTAATAAAATATTTCTTTAAATTGATTGACACGCCCAGTGTTTGGTGATTTTCTAATGCGCAACTGCGCATGACAAATTGTAATAAAATTACTTTTAACACCACCTACTATGTGGCCTTTTTACCCTAAACTGATCATATTTTTTAAACTCTAAGTAAATTCATTTAAAAAAAAAAAGGTTTTCTCTAAGTAAATAAAAGTAAATTAGGTAATCAACCCTCACTGGTCTCGGTCTCGACTCGGACTCGACCGTCTCTGGTCTCGGACTCGACTCGGACTCGACTCTCTCTGGTCTCGGTGTCGACTCGGACTCGAGTGAGGTGGTCTCGACTACAACACTGCTTGTTCATTTACTGTACACGTAAGGTGATGTGCAGCGGAAGCGAATTCATGAGCGGGCAATAATGAGGGCGAGAGTAAGGAGAAAGAGAGCACGTTTTTATTATTATTTACAATACAGTCGCTCCAGATTTGCTTGTATCTCTTACCCAAAATAACACCTCACAGTCCTATCTTCAATATTCACAGAAGAACAACCGATATGTTACATATTTGGAGTGATTCCCAGCAGCGCAGAACAGTGATGAATTATGAGGGATGTAAAACTCAGCATAAATTTCAACATGACTGTTAAAGGGATACTCCACTTTTTTTGGAAATAGGCTCATTTTACCACTCTCCCAGAGTTAAACAGTTGGGTTTTACTGTTTTCGAATGTATTCAGCCGATTTTTGGATATTTAGAAGAATATCAGTAACCAGACAGTTTCGAGCTTCTGGTCTCATTGACTTCCATAGTAGGAAAAAAATATACTATGGAAGTCAATGAGACCAGAAACTGTCTGGTTACTGATATTCTTCTAAATATCAGAAAATTTCGAAAAAAAAGTGGAGTATCCTTTTAAGAAAAAAAAAAAAAAACACATAAGAAACGTTTGACCATTTGCTTGCAGATTTTGTCTTGCATGTTAATCATGTCATGTTCTGAGTTCAACATTTGTTGATTAAAATAAAGTGTTACAAGCAACATTTATATACATTATTTTAAAATCACAAACACAGAGTTTACTTTGTATAGTTATGTCGAAAGAAAGGACAGTTAATATATATTAATATATAAGAAGTTAATATATAGGCGACATAAATATATTAAGTAATTTGAAAAAAAAAATACATTTGTTCTTACTGCATAGCTCTGATTCAATCTAGACATACAGCACATTAATGGGAGATGACATTCACTTGGAGTATATCATATCTTTCCATCAAGCATTTAATACGATTACAAGGATTTATAACAAACAAAATAATTAATATAAAAGAAAACAAAGGTTTTTAATTCAGTAATTGTAACTGTGTTCAGACTGTTATGCATCAAAATGAATGGCACATAATGCTGCAAACATATTTGTCACAACCAGAGGGAGATGAAGGATTGTAAAGGATTGAGTTGTCAGTGTTTGTCATCTCTTTCAGTCCTTTCTAAACACATTTCAGGTCCAGATTTATGTCATAATTCTCAGACACTGTTACATGAGATAGTTCCATCGTTTCTTTTACGGGATGACATCTTTGATCCTTTGTCATCAACACACCAGCACTGGCCTCTTTGCATTCCCCTTGATGAGCGACACTGTTTCAAGAAGAGCAAACTCTATTATTGTTTATAGAGAGCAGATTTCATTCTTACAATCATGGCAATGGCAAAACACACAGACAAATGGATTAATTGGAAACAATCCAGATTGGACAGTGCAAACGTGTTAAATTTTTTGCGTTTAAAACTCTGACATGCTTGATTTTGCATTCACTGTAAAAAATATATTTTCAAGATTTGTTATCACAACATTTTTTCCTTTGTCAAATCAATTAAATAATTGATTTAGTTCAGATAACTTATTATTTTAAGTTTCTGATGATCAAATCAATCTCCTTTTACTTTTTCCAGTTGAATTAACTTAAAATTTTGAGGCAACCAGGTTAAACCAACAACATTGTTTGCTAAAACACCTTGTTTCTTCTCTACGCACCTGTTTCCTCCTGAAGGACCCTTGTCTGTCACAGTTGGGGATGTAGATGTCCTGAATTGAATGAATGATTGTGAGCTCAATGCTTTGGAGGACTGTGTTTAACAGTTTGCGACAAGGACCCTATAGAACGAAACGACAACAACATGATTAATGCAAAAGTTTTAATTTATGACTCAAAGTCAGACAGTATGATATGAATATTTATGCAGAACATAATTTACAGAGCCATGTTACCTTTTCATTGTTATCAGTGGTTGATGGTTGATAGTCTGTAACATAAAACTTATAGTTTTAATACAGCTTTTTGCTCGGGAAAACCTAAAAAGTCCCGCTCATTGTACAAAGTACAGATGAGCCTTTCTTTTCCTTCTTAAACACATTCAATAATAATGATAGAACTTATAAATCCTTGTTATATATATTCAACTCAAAATTGAACGTGAATTGCATTTTCATTCTAGTATCTACTCAACTTTTAGGTTTAGTTTTTTTTATTTTAAGTTAGCCAGTTTCAAATCCATGCGAGATTAGATGCCATGAGACAAGACCATCTTACCTGTGAGTGGAGGAATGTCAGTAATGGTGCTCTTGATGCTTTTGCAGACCCCTCGTCCTTGAAGCAGTGCCTGAAGGGGGCTTTGCTCGCCGGGAAGAGGGATACACCGGAGACCCTGAGCACACGGTAGGGTGTAAACCCCACAGGGTTCATCTAATGCCAACATGGATGTGATCTCCTCGCCGGATAAACGTTCAGCTCGGTGGCCCTTGAGGTCCCCTGAGGGCCCATTGCACAATGGGCAGATCTTCCTCAAGCCTAACACAAGGGAGTTGGAGCCAGATAAGCTGAGTTGAATGGTAACCAAAATGGTTAGTAAATAAGCAAAAGAAACCATCTTCGTCTTTTCTTCCAGGACAGAAAAGCTTGTTTTCAGTGAATGCTCTCCTCTCTTCCAGGTCTCTCTGACATTCAATGGAAGTAGTAGTGTGGATGAACAAGAGAATCTAAGGACAATAATTAGATCAAATTGCCCAGAAATGCAACTTGGGCTGCTTTTAAAGAGCTGAGATGCTGTAGGGGTGGGAGACTGAGAGATGCTGGGCGTTTAATAAGAGGTGGAGTTAATGTATAACTCTATTCCTCCCCATTTCAGCCACATTTTGAATGATGTACAAATTCAGCTGGTTTAATTTCCTGAATTATGTGAACATGCAATATTTTGTTTTCACTGGGTGTTTCTCCAGGTATTATTAAACTGAAATGAGTCTCACTCAAAAAACATTTTTTTGAATGAGCATAAAAAAATTATGGAAAGGTTTTCCACATGATTAACTTGCTTTATTTCTGCATTATTCAATTCTGTTATTCCAATTTAATGTACTTACGGTCAACTTAATGTACTTACGGTCAACTTAATGTATTAAGGTTGATTCAACTTATTTACCAGAGATGTATAAAGTACTAGAAAACCGGACTTGAGTAAAAGTACAAGTGCTCTATCAAAAAAGTGACTTGAGTAGAAGTTGAAGTGCTCTTTAAGCACCACACTTAAGTAGAAGTACTAAAGTATTCAACATTTTTTGAACTTAACTATTGCAAGTAGTTTATTTTAAAATTCACTAATACTAAAAGTACAAGTATTGTGTCATGTAATTATTAAAGAAAGCAGTCAAAAGTTTGAACTAGCAATCAAATAAGAGGCTTTGGCGGGATACAAATTTGCTTTAGCGGCCGCCAAAAAAATGTCATTGCAGGACAACCCCTGCATTAGTTGTCAATGTGTTTGTCAATCAATACCATTACCCTATAAAACTGGCGTGCGATTTAAGCAGCATGAAAGCCAACTTGCAACAAATGATTCGTACAATTTTTATAATTGTAACAAGTAACTAGCCAAACATTAAAAAAATATCGAAGTAAAAGTATTAAATTCATCGAAAATATCTACTGAAGTAAAAGTAGAAGTGTGAGAAAAAAACAAAACTCTAGTAGAGTACAGATACAGCATTTTAGTACTTAAGTACAATACTTAAGTAGTTCTACTTCGTTACATCTCTGCTATTTACTATGGTTGGGCACAGCTTTTAATATTGTCAGTGAATTTAAAAAGTCTCCCTGATGTGATTCAGGTATTTAAATTCATATTTTTAATTCATCCAATACAATAAAAATTATTTTAGGGTCACGGTAATATATTTCTAGACTATAACCAAGTGTTAGTAACCAATAGCACTTATTAGCATCTTAAAGTATAAGATTCACATGCTTCAACCAAAGCAATATAAATGGTACTAATTGCAATGTAATTGAACTTTAAACACAATTACGCACTATAAAGTCTTTCCCTTTTCTAATTTTCTCTTATTGTCTCTTAACTAACAAGCCCAGTTTCAGTTAATACAACACAGATCAATCATGTAATCTATCACAAATGGATTAAGTAAACTTAAATTTGACATATTTAAGTAGATCGAACACAATCAAATTAAGTTTGGACAAAGTGTATAGCAATTGTGTTGCTTAAGCTCGTTTTAATTACGCAATTTCGACAAGCAGCAAAAAATCATTTTTTTTGAGTGGAAAGCATTTGGCATATAGAAACGAAACTTAGACATTGATAGTGTTACCATGCGTTTTCCAAAAGCATTCATTGTAATGTGCCTGTGGTTTCTACAATTATTTTTACTTTAAAATGAGAATGAATCTTCTTTTATAGTAGTTAATTAATTGACGATGAACCAGACAATAAATTTGATTGCCACTCTGGTATTTTTTACTTCAGTTAACATCTAAATCTTTTTGCCAAATGGCTTCTTTGTGTGTGTCTCCAGGATTTTCAGACTTAAGTGCCACTTCCCATTCGGCGTATTTTATTAGTTGATTTGGCAGCTGGACAAAAATGTCCTACACCCACAGCAACACCCACATGTCGGCAAGACTTGGGCTACTATAACAAATCGCTCTACATTGCAGTGTATCACTTTTTTCCAGTTGTCTCCATCTCTTTTCCTCCCAAATCACACACACACACACAAACACAAATTAGCACAATCCTTTTTCATGAAGTCATGGGTGATCGCTTAATGACTTTAAGCCTGTTTTTCAAGAACTTCACCCTTGATCTGTCATTGCACTGATTTCCCCATCGAAATGATGTCATAATTAATCGCCTCAAGTAGGAAAATGAGCACCACATCACAGGTGTTTCTGAGTGACATGGGGAAAAATGAACAAGGGCTTTCCCCTCTAACCAGAATTTCTTTAAACGTTTTACTGATATCCAAGGAAACAATCTGTGTATGTGCTTTGTCAGACAATATCTTCTTAAAACAAACATGGATGAGTTTACATGTTGTTGGCAACCAGCTTCATTCCTACAGGTGTGCAAGTCACCTAGAAAAGAGAGCGACCCCACATCTGTACAGCTGTACAGTACTTCCCAGCAAACACAGAACGTTCCCCTAACGTTCCTGAATGGTCCCATGAGGTTATTTTTTTGGGAACCAAACAAGAACGTTATACACTCTCAGAAAAAAAGGTACAAAAGCTGTCACTGCATGGGGCTGTATCTTTTCAAAAGGTAAACTTTTGTCCATTTCAGGTATTGATATGTACATTTTAGGTGCTAATAACTACATTGTAGGTGCTAATATGTACATTTTAGGTGTTAATATGTATATTTTATGTACATTTTAGGTACTAATATGTATATTTTAGGTGCTAATATGTACATTTTAGATGTTAATATGTACATTTTAGGTGCTAATATGTACATTTTAGGTGCTAATGTGTACATTTTAGGTACTTATATGTACATTTTATGTGATAATATGTACATGTTAGGTGCTAATATGTACATTTTAGGTGCTAATATGTACATTTTACGTGTTAATATGTACATTTTAGGTGTTAATATGTACATTTTATGTACATTTTGTACTAATATGTATATTTTATGTATATTTTATGTACTAATATGTACATTTTATGTGATAATATGTACATGTTAGGTGCTAATATGTACATTTTAGGTGCTAATATGTACATTTTACGTGTTAATATGTACATTTTAGGTGTTAATATGTACATTTTAGGTGCTAATAACTACATTGTAGGTGCTAATATGTACATTTTAGGTGTTAATATGTATATTTTATGTACATTTTAGGTACTAATATGTATATTTTAGGTGCTAATATGTACATTTTAGATGTTAATATGTACATTTTAGGTGCTAATATGTACATTTTAGGTGCTAATATGTACATTTTAGGTGCTAATAAGTACATTTTAGGTGTTAATATGTACATTTTAGGTGCTAATATGTACATTTAGGTGCTAATATGTACATTTTAGGTGTTAATATGTACATTTTAGGTGTTAATATGTATATTTTAGGTGCTAATATGTACATTTTAGGTGCTAATATGTACATTTTAGGTGTTAATATGTATATTTTATGTACATTTTAGGTACTAATATGTACATTTTAGGTGCTAATATGTACATTTTAGGTGCTAATATGTACATTTTAGGTGCTAATATGTACATTTCAGGTGCTAATATGTAAATTTTAGGTGCTAATATGTACATTTAATGTGATAATATGTACATTTTAGGTGCTAATATATACATTTTAGGTACTAATATGTACAAATTAAGTGTAATATGTACATTTTAGGTGTTAATATGTACAGATTATGTGCTAATATGTACATTTCAGGTGCTAATATGTACATTTTAGATGTTAATATGTATTTTAGGTTAATATGTACATTTTAGGTGTTAATATGTACATTTTAGGTGCTAATAAGTACATTTTAGGTGCTAATATGTACATTTTAGATGTTAATATGTACATTAGGTGCTAATATGTACATTTTAGATGTTAATATGTACATTTTAGGTGCTAATATGTACATTTTAGGTGCTAATATGTACATTTTACGTGTTAATATGTACATTTTAGGTGCTAATATGTACATTTTAGGTGCTAATAAGTAAGTACATTTTAGGTGCTAATATGTACATTTTAGGTAATAATATGTACATTTTAGGCGTTAATATGTACAATTAGGTGGTAATATGTCCATTTTAGGTGCTAATATGTACCACTAAGGTTCCAATATGCAGCCTTTGGATACAAAAGTGTACCTTTTGAAAAGGTACAGCCCCAATGACAGCTTTTGTACCTTTTTTTTCAGAGAGTGTAGGAACGTTCCATGTAGGTTATTTTTAGGTTCCATTTTTATAACGTAAGGAGAATGTTCCGGGAACGTTCCCTTAACCTTAAGGGAAAGTTGTAGGAATTTGTGTTGTTTTCCTAATTTGTTTGCTGGGAATTCTCACTAAAGTACAGGGGAAATAAGAAACTTCCAGGGCTGCCTCGCTCTCCATCTGCGTCTTTGACTTTCTACACATTTACATGTTCATTTAATCATTCAGCAGACGCTATTATCCAAAGCGACTTACAAATGAGGAGAGCAGTATAAGCAGTTAAACTAACAATAGGACAGCATTACGTAAGTGCTGTGACCCTGCCCAGTTTGGCCTAATGCAGTATATGTAATTATCTTTTCTTAATAGATATAGAGTAGAAGTGAAAGGAAAGTGTTAGTATTAATGGATCAAGTGTTGCTGAAAAAGATGTGACTTCAGCCTATGTATAATCTGTTATACAATATATCCGTTTACCCACCACAGTAAAGAGTCCCATCATCGACCATATCATGTCCACACCTTTAGTATTTACAGAAACCTGTAGTGTACAATGTTCTGTAAACATTTGCTGTAATGTACAGTATTTAGTTCCCAAAGAGCCTCTCAACAGCTTCTTTCGACAGTTGACCTGCCTCTGCTCCGGGATGAGTTTATCGAATGCTGCTGAACATAACTTTAAAATTGATGTCAAGATCTATCGTTGTCTTCTCCCTTTGACTACAGAGATCCAGAGCTGTGCGAC